ATGTGGATACAATAACCCTGGACATAAATCATAGAATCAGAGAATCAGGGAGTTGGGAGAGACCTCATGGGCCATCCAGTCCAACCCCCTGCTAAGAAGCAGGAATATTACATTCAAATCACCCCTGACAGATGACCATCCAGCCTCTATTATAGTTCCTAGCCCGAGGTGGCTATATTTCACAGCTTTCTTCAAACATAGGACAAAATACCTCTACAGATTTTGTTATTTTGACCCAATCCCTCTACAAAGTTACTGAAAGAATTAATTTTAAAATGGGACATTGAACCAGAAAGACAGGGCAGTTTGCCCTGGAGTTGCCAGATTTAAAAGGCAATGCCTTGCAAAGGGCCAAAAAGGTTTTTGCCTGATTTGAGAGCCATTGCCAGCAAAAAGGGTTAAACTGTTTATTTAGTTGAAAAAAGCAGGTTGAAGTTGGAAAAGCAAGTCAAAGATGGAATGAGCTGTTGTTTGCAGTAGATGGACAGAGGAACGTGAGATAAATCATGGAAAGAAAACCATAGAGAATTGTTTGAAAGGATGGAGATCGGTTGAGAAGACTTCGAAGTGAGAGATTGTGGAGGCCCGCCAATGGATGGAGTGAAAGCTATCGACGAAAACCGACGACAGATGGGTAATCAGTATCCCCCTTCCCCTTTTCTCTCACTATCTTTCTATTTATCTTTTCCAGCTCTTGAGCTCCTGATAATGGGAGTCCAAAATACAAGAGCCTATCCAAAGCACCAGCTGGACCTTAGGGAAGGCTGAGCGAAGAAAGATTGATGCTTTTGAGCTGTGGTGTTGGAGGAAAGTTCTGAGAGTGCCTTGGACTGCGAGAAGATCCAACCAGTCCATCCTCCAGGAAATAAAGCCCGACTGCTCACTGGAGGGAAAGATACTAGAGACAAAGTTGAAGTACTTTGGCCACATCATGAGGAGACAGGAAAACCTAGAGAAGACAATTATGCTGGGGAAAGTGGAAGGCAAAAGGAAGAGGGGCTGACCAAGGGCAAGATGGATGGATGGCATCCTTGAAGTGACTGGACTGACCTTGAGGGAGCTGGGGGTGGAACGGCCGACAGGGAGCTCTGGCGTGGGCTGGTCCATGAGGTCACGAAGAGTCGGAGACGACTGAACGAATGAACAACAACAACAACAACATCCAAAGCACCACCTGCTGGATAGGACAAGCAAAAGACATAAGTGTTTACAACTGTGTTTTAAAAAGAGACAGAGATGATGTCATCACCAGCCCTGGGCCTACCTGATATGGAGAAACCCTTCATTCTGTTCGTATCGGAGCGAGAAGAAATAGCAGTGGGCGTACTCACCCAGGCTTTAGGGTCATGGCAAAGACCAGTGGCATGCTTGTCAAGGCAACTAGACACAGTAGCGCAGGGAATGCCACCATGCCTGCGGGCTGTGACAGCAGCAGTAGATTTAATAAAAGAAACAAACAAATTGACTTTAGGGCAGCCACTGGTCATAAAGGTACCACACCATGTGAAGGCACTGTTAGACACCAAGGGACCACGCTGGCTCACAAACGAGAGACTGACTAAGTATGAGGGGGTGTTATGTGACAACCCGATGGTAACCCTAGAAACTTGCACCACCCTGAATCCGGCTACCTTGTTGCCTGCCCCGGGGGAGGAAATGGTCCACCAGTGCATTCAGGTGATGGAACAGGTATACTCCAGCCGACCCGATTTAAAAGACGTACCAATGTCCAACATAGACATGACCCTATTCACAGATGGCAGCAGCTTCGTGGAGAATGGTGAGAGGCGTGCAGGGTATGCGGTGGTGCAGGGGGGGGGAGAGATTTTGGAAGCAGAGTCGCTCCCTCCGGGAACCTCCGCTCAGCGGGCCGAGTTGATAGCCCTCACCAGGGCACTGCAGTTGGCAAAAGGAAAGCGGGTCAATGTCTACACGGATTCAAAGTACGCTTTTACTACGCTTCATGCCCATGGAGCTTTGTACAAGGAGCGGGGACTCCTTACGTCGGCTGGAAAGGGCGTTAAGAATGCAGCTGAGATTGTGGCCCTTCTGGAGGCGGTTTGGGAACCGGATCGGGTTGCTGTAATGCATTGTAAGGGACACCAGAGGGGAGAAGATCCAGTTACGCAAGGAAATAGGTTAGCTGATTTGGCCGCAAGGGAGGCAGCAAAACACCCCCGCAATAAGCAGTGCCTGCTGACTGCAACTGCATTAGAGGACCCCCCATTAGAAAAGTTTACATATACACAAGAGGAGGAGAATTGGGCCTTGGGGGAAAAAGGAAAATGGAAGGGAGAGGTCATCGTGATGCCAGATAACCGCGTCTACGTCCCTAAGGACATGGCGTGGCACATAGTCCGACACATGCATTACACTACACACCTGGGTAAGACGGCCCTGGCAACGTTGTTGGGACGACAGATGTACATCGATGGGCTCCATAGCTTAACGGCAGCGGCTGCACGCAGGTGCTGGACCTGCGCCAAGAATAACCCTCGAGAAGGACCCTTAAAGCCCCCAGGAGTTCAACGTGTGATAAAGTGCTCATTAAGGAGTGAAAGATTGACCCGCTTGGACCAAAGTGGAGAGGACCCTATACTGTGCTGTTATCAACCCCTACCGCCATCAAAGTGAAGGAAGTCAAACCTTGGATACACTACACCCGTGCCAAGTTGGCGCCCCCTGTGTGGAAAGTAGAAAAAGCGGATCAGAGTGACCTGAGACTCAGGATCGTCCGGCAACCCCCTACGGGGTCAACAAGGCCATGAAGCTGACCCCATCGGGTACAACAGAACGTCGAAGGTCAAGTATGTCACAGTGTGGCCCAACAAAAGCACTATCCTGGAAGTGGTGGAAAGACATTGTGATGGGAAGGGGAGGAAGAGACACCAGAGAACCAACAGGAGTTCGGACAGTTTTTGGGTTCCTAATGCTTGTAAATATGATCACTATGATACAGGGAAATTGGCTAAAAGAACATGCAAGACTTATGTTTGCCCAGCATGGTAAAGATGTGTCTCTTATATTAGGTTGTTTCATTTTTCTATTGCTAATATGCTGTTTTCCAATTATGCTCCAAGCCTGCCAAAAGTATATAATGCAAGTAGCGCCAATAGAAAAGATAGGTCGCATCCAGAGAAAAAGTTGGAGGGACCCATAAAACCCTTTGCTGATTTGCTTTCGCTTTTGTAAAACGCTTAGCAAAAAGAAAAAAAATGGGGAAATAAGGCAGCCTTATGATTGTGGAAATGAGAATATGGTGGGTGTGTTACCAAATAAGGAAAGGGGGTCCCGTGTGCAAAGGTTGAGTGTGGGTTCCGTGTGCAAAAAAGTTGAGTACAGAGTGCAACACCATGTGATTTCCTGGAAAGCACCTGATTTCAAGGAAATGAAACTTTCGTTTTTCCAAACTGTATATAAGGTATTTTCAGCCCACTAGAGGGGGTCCCTTCCTTAGAGACGCCTCCTTGCGTTTGGAGGAGACCCCATGCAGCTGCATTGAAATAAACTGCTTTCTTGGATGAATCATGTTGTCCGTCTTTTGATTCCTGCCTGCGCTCGCTCACCGGTTGCAAGCCAAGCTTTGGCTGAGGGCCCTATTGGGCAAAAAGGTCTGCTACAGTAGCATGTTCTTTGTTTGCTTGATTCTGAAAGCTATAAAAGGCAGTCAGCCCCTTGATCGGGTGCTCTGGTTTGCTTTGGGACGCAAGTCCACTCCAGGGCCCCAGCTGGTAATAAAAGCTGTGCTTTTCAGATCTCAGGATCTCTCTTTGTCTCTCCTTTCCTGAAACCTTTTCCCTGCCATTTCAGTATCTGGCCACTTGGAGTGCTTCTGGTGTTGCCGCAAGGAGGTCCTCCATTGTGCATGTGGCAGGGCTCAGGTTGCATTGCAGCAGGTGGTCAGTGGTTTGCTCTTCTCCGCACTCGCATGTCGTGGATTCCACTTTGTGGCCCCATTTCTTAAGGTTGGCTCTGCATCTCGTGGTGCCCGAGCGCAGTCTGTCCAGCGCCTTCCAAGTTGGTGGTTTTCCAAGCAGAGCACAGCAAAAAAGCAAAGCAAAGAGCAATGCAGAAAGCAATGCAAAAAGCAAAGAGCAAAGCAAAAAACAATGCAAAAAGCAGATCAATAAGCAATGCAAAAAATAAAGAACAATGCAGAAAGCAATGCAAAACATAAAGACCAAAGCAAAAAAGCAATACAAAAATCAGAGCAAAGAGCAATGCAGGTAGTAAAGAACGAAGTAAAAGGCAAAGCAAAGAGCAATGCAGAAAGCAATGCAAAAAGTAAAGAGCAAAGCAGAAAACAGAGCAAAGAGCAATGCAGAAAGTAAAGAACAATGCAAAGAACAATGCAGAAAGCAATGCAGAAAGTAAAGAGCAAAGCAGAAAACAGAGCAAAGAGCAATGCAGAAAGTAAAGAACAATGCAAAGAACAATGCAGAAAGCAATGCAAAAAGTAAAGAGCAAAGCAAAAAACAATGCAAAAAACAGAGCAAAGAGCAATGCAGAAAGCAATGCAGAAAGTAAATTGCAAAGCAAAAAAGCAATGCAAAAAACAGAATCAAGCAAACAAAAAGCAGAGCAAAGAGCAATGCAGAAAGCAATGCAAAAAGTAAAGAGCAAAGCAAAAAAACAATGCAAAAAGCAGAGCAAAGAGCAATGCATAAAGTAAAGAATAATGCAAAGAGCAATGCAGAAAGCAATGCAAAAAGTAAAGAGCAAAGCAAAAAAACAATGCAAAAAGCAGAGCAAAGAGCAATGCATAAAGTAAAGAATAATGCAAAGAGCAATGCAGAAAGCAATGCAAAACGTAAAAACCAAAGCAAAAAAGCAATAGAAAAATCAGAGCAAAGAGCAATGCAGGTAGTAAAGAAGGAAGTAAAAGGCAAAGCAAAGAGCAAAGGGAGGAGCCAAGGCCTCCCTCCCTCCTTGCAGGTGTTTTGGACTTCATCTCCCACAATTCCCAACAGCTTACAGGGTTAACGTCACTTCCGGAACACCTTTGTTGGAGGCGGGGCAGAGAAGAGAAAGAGAGAGAGGGGAGAAGAAAGAAAGGAAAGAAGGAAAGAAGGTAAGGAAAGGAAGGGGTAACGTCCATCCTGCTCTTTCTCCTTCCTTCGTTCCTTCTTCTCCGGGGATCCTTTTGGGAAGGCAGCTAGGGCTGCGAGGTCATCTGTCGGGAGTGCTTTGATGGTGCTTTTCCTGCATGAAGGCAGCAAGAAGGGGGTTGGACCAGATGGCCTTTAGGGGCCCCCTCCAACTGTATTATTATTGAGGCTGGGTGGCCATCTGTCAGGTGTGCTTTGATGGTGCTCTTCCAGCATGAAGGCAGCAAGAAGGGGGTTGGACCAGATGGCCTTTAGGGGCCCCCTCCAACTGTATTATTATTGAGGCTGGGTGGCCATCTGTCAGGTGTGCTTTGATGGTGCTCTTCCAGCATGAAGGCAGCAAGAAGGGGGTTGGACCAGATGGCCTTTAGGGACCCCTCCAACTCTAGTATTAATATTAATATTAATATTAATATTGAGGCTGGGTGATCATCTGTCAGGTGTGCTTTGGTGGTGCGCTTCCAGCATGAAGGCAGCAAGAAGGGGGTTGGACCAGATGGCCTTTAGGGACCCCTCCAACTCTAGTATTAATATTAATATTAATATTAATATTGAGACTGGGTGATCATCTGTCAGGTGTGCTTTGATGGTGCTCTTCCAGCATGAAGGCAGCAAGAAGGGGGTTGGACCAGATGGCCTTTAGGGACCCCTCCAACTGTATTATTATTGAGGCTGGGTGGCCATCTGTCAGGTGTGCTTTGATGGTGCTCTTCCAGCATGAAGGCAGCAAGAAGGGGGTTGGACCAGATGGCCTTTAGGGGCCCCCTCCAACTGTATTATTATTGAGGCTGGGTGGCCATCTGTCAGGTGTGCTTTGATGGTGCTCTTCCAGCATGAAGGCAGCAAGAAGGGGGTTGGACCAGATGGCCTTTAGGGGCCCCCTCCAACTGTATTATTATTGAGGCTGGGTGGCCATCTGTCAGGTGTGCTTTGATGGTGCTCTTCCAGCATGAAGGCAGCAAGAAGGGGGTTGGACCAGATGGCCTTTAGGGACCCCTCCAACTCTAGTATTAATATTAATATTAATATTAATATTGAGGCTGGGTGATCATCTGTCAGGTGTGCTTTGGTGGTGCGCTTCCAGCATGAAGGCAGCAAGAAGGGGGTTGGACCAGATGGCCTTTAGGGACCCCTCCAACTCTAGTATTAATATTAATATTAATATTAATATTGAGACTGGGTGATCATCTGTCAGGTGTGCTTTGATGGTGCTCTTCCAGCATGAAGGCAGCAAGAAGGGGGTTGGACCAGATGGCCTTTAGGGACCCCTCCAACTGTATTATTATTGAGGCTGGGTGGCCATCTGTCAGGTGTGCTTTGATGGTGCTCTTCCAGCATGAAGGCAGCAAGAAGGGGGTTGGACCAGATGGCCTTTAGGGGCCCCCTCCAACTGTATTATTATTGAGGCTGGGTGGCCATCTGTCAGGTGTGCTTTGATGGTGCTCTTCCAGCATGAAGGCAGCAAGAAGGGGGTTGGACCAGATGGCCTTTAGGGGCCCCCTCCAACTGTATTATTATTGAGGCTGGGTGGCCATCTGTCAGGTGTGCTTTGGTGGTGCGCTTCCAGCATGAAGGCAGCAAGAAGGGGGTTGGACCAGATGGCCTTTAGGGACCCCTCCAACTCTAGTATTAATATTAATATTAATATTAATATTGAGGCTGGGTGATCATCTGTCGGGGATGCTTATGTTAATCCCACAAACGAATATTACATTTTTGGGTTGTTGTAGGTTTTTTTGGGGGCGATATGGCCATGTTCTAGAGGCATTTTCTCCTGACGTTTCGCCTGCATCTATGGCAAGCATCCTCAGAGGTAGTGAGGTCTGTTGGGACTAGGAAAATGGGTTTATATATCTGTGGAATGACCAGGGTGGGACAAAGGACTCTTGTCTGCTGGGGCTAGGTGTGAATGTTTCAACTGACCACCTTGATTAGCATTTAATGGCTTGTAATGGCCTGAGCAAACTTTTGTTGAGAGGTGATTAGATGTCCTTGTTTGTTTCCTCTCTGTTGTTGTGCTGTTCTAATTTTAGAGTTTTTTAATACTGGTAGCCAGATTTTGTTCATTTTCATGGTTTCCTCCTTTCTGTTGAAATTGTCCACATGCTTCTTGTGGGTTTCAATGGCTTCTCTGTGTAGCCTGACATGGTGGTTGTGAGAGTGGTCCAGCATTTCTGTGTTCTCAAATAATATGCTGTGTCCAGGTGGGTTCCTCAGGTGCTCTGCTATGGCTGATTTCTCTGGTTGAAGTAGTCTGCAGTGCCTTTCATGTTTCTTGATTTGTGTGCTGTGTTTGGGTGTCCCTATGTAGACTTCTTGTCCACAGCTACATGGTATACGGTAGACTCCTGCAGAGGTGAGAGGATCCCTCTTGTCCTTTGCTGAACGTAGCATTTGTTGGATTTTCTTGGTGGGTCTGTAGATAGTTTGTATGTTGTGTTTCTTCCTCAGCTTCCCTCTGCGGTCAGTGGTTCCCTTGATGTATGGCAGGAACACTTTTCCTCTGGGTGGATCTTCGTCTTTACTCTCGTGGCTTCTTCTCGGTGGTCTTGCAGCTCTCCTGATGTCTGAGGTGGAGTCTCCCTTGGCCTGGAGAGCCCAGTTGAGGTGGTTCAGTCCACCTTGGAGGAGGTGAGCTTCGCAGATTCTTTTTGCACGGTCTGCCAAGGCTTTAATGGTGCTTCTTTTTTGACTTGGGTGATGGTGGGAGTTTTGATGTAGATCTCTATCTGTGTGTGTGGGTTTTCTGTAGATGGTGTGACCCAACTGTTGATCTGCTTTGTGGATGACTAGGACATCTAGAAAAGGCAGTCTTCCTTCCTTTTCTTTTTCCATGGTGAATTGGATGTTTGGGTGGATGCTGTTGAGATGGTCCAGGAACCTGTTGAGTTCTTCTCCTCCATGGCTCCAAATAGTGAAGGTGTCATCCACATCTCTGAACCATATGTTTGGGTGGATGCTGTTCAGATGGTCCAGGAACCTGTTGAGTTCTTCTTCTCCATGGCTCCAAATGGTGAAGGTGTCATCCACATATCTGAACCATATGTTTGGGTGGATGCTGTTCAGATGGTCCAGGAACCTGTTGAGTTCTCCTCCATGGCTCCAAATGGTGAAGGTGTCATCCATATCTCTGAACCATATGTTTGGGTGGATGCTGTTCAGATGGTCCAGGAACCTGTTGAGTTCTTCTTTTCCATGGCTCCAAATGATGATGGTGTCATCCACATATCTGAACCATATGTTTGGGTGGATGCTGTTCAGATGGTCCAGGAACCTGTTGAGTTCTTCTTCTCCATGGCTCCAAATGGTGATGGTGTCATCCACATATCTGAACCATATGTTTGGGTGGATGCTGTTCAGATGGTCCAGGAACCTGTTGAGTTCTTCTTCTCCATGGCTCCAAATGGTGAGGTGTCATCCACATATCTGAACCATATGTTTGGGTGGATGCTGTTCAGATGGTCCAGGAACCTGTTGAGTTCTTCTTCTCCATGGCTCCAAATGGTGAAGGTGTCATCCACATCTCTGAACCATGTTTGGGTGGATGCTGTTCAGATGGTCCAGGAACCTGTTGAGTTCTTCTTCTCCATGGCTCCAAATGGTGAAGGTGTCATCCACATATCTGAACCATATGTTTGGGTGGATGCTGTTCAGATGGTCCAGGAACCTGTTGAGTTCTTCTTCTCCATGGCTCCAAATGATGATGGTGTCATCCACATATCTGAACCATATGTTTGGGTGGATGCTGTTCAGATGGTCCAGGAACCTGTTGAGTTCTTCTTCTCCATGGCTCCAAATGGTGAAGGTGTCATCCACATATCTGAACCATATGTTTGGGTGGATGCTGTTCAGGTGGTCCAGGAACCTGTTGAGTTCTTCTCCATGGCTCCAAATGGTGAAGGTGTCATCCACATATCTGAACCACATGTTTGGGTGGATGCTGTTCAGATGGTCCAGGAACCTGCTGAGTTCTTCTCTCCATGGCTCCAAATGGTGAAGGTGTCATCCACATATCTGAACCATATGTTTGGGTGGATGCTGTTCAGATGGTCCAGGAACCTGCTGAGTTCTTCTCCTCCATGGCTCCAAATGATGATGGTGTCATCCACATATCTGAACCATATGTTTGGGTGGATGCTGTTCAGATGGTCCAGGAACCTGTTGAGTTCTTCTTCTCCATGGCTCCAAATGGTGATGGTGTCATCCACATATCTGAACCATATGTTTGGGTGGATGCTGTTCAGGTGGTCCAGGAACCTGTTGAGTTCTTCTCCATGGCTCCAAATGGTGAAGGTGTCATCCACATATCTGAACCATATGTTTGGGTGGATGCTGTTGAGATGGTCCAGGAACCTGTTGAGTTCTTCTTCTCCATGGCTCCAAATGGTGAAGTGTCATCCACATCTCTGAACCATATGTTTGGGTGGATGCTGTTGAGATGGTCCAGGAACCTGTGAGTTCTTCTTCTCCATGGCTCCAAATGGTGAAGGTGTCATCCACATCTCTGAACCATATGTTTGGGTGGATGCTGTTCAGATGGTCCAGGAACCTGTTGAGTTCTTCTTCTCCATGGCTCCAAATGGTGAAGGTGTCATCCACATATCTGAACCATATGTTTGGGTGGATGCTGTTCAGATGGTCCAGGAACCTGTTGAGTTCTTCTTCTCCATGGCTCCAAATGGTGAAGGTGTCATCCACATATCTGAACCATATGTTTGGGTGGATGCTGTTCAGATGGTCCAGGAACCTGCTGAGTTCTTCTCCTCCATGTCTCCAAATGGTGAAGGTGTCATCCACATCTCTGAACCATATGTTTGGGTGGATGCTGTTCAGATGGTCCAGGAACCTGTTGAGTTCTTCTTCTCCATGGCTCCAAATGGTGATGGTGTCATCCACATATCTGAACCATATGTTTGGGTGGATGCTGTTCAGATGGTCCAGGAACCTGTTGAGTTCTTCTTCTCCATGGCTCCAAATGGTGAAGGTATCATCCACATATCTGAACCATATGTTTGGGTGGATGCTGTTCAGATGGTCCAGGAACCTGTTGAGTTCTTCTTCTCCATGGCTCCAAATGGTGAAGGTGTCATCCACATCTCTGAACCATATGTTTGGGTGGATGCTGTTGAGATGGTCCAGGAACCTGTTGAGTTCTTCTTCTCCATGGCTCCAAATGGTGATGGTGTCATCCACATATCTGAACCATATGTTTGGGTGGATGCTGTTCAGATGATCCAGGAACCTGTTGAGTTCTTCTTCTCCATGGCTCCAAATGGTCAAGGTGTCATCCACATATCTGAACCATATGTTTGGGTGGATGCTGTTCAGATGGTCCAGGAACCTGTTGAGTTCTTCTCCATGGCTCCAAATGGTGATGGTGTCATCCAAATATCTGAACCATATGTTTGGGTGGATGCTGTTCAGATGGTCCAGAAACCTGTTGAGTTCTTCTTCTCCATGGCTCCAAATAGTGAAGGTGTCATCCACGTATTTCAACCATAGAGTGGGCTTTTTGGTTGCTGTTTCAAGGGCTTGTTTTTCAAAGTGTTACCTGTAGAAAGCTATGACCAGGCTGAGAGGGCTCCCCATAGCTACTCCATCTTTCTGTTTGTAGAACAAAATTATTATTATTATTATTATTATTATTATTATTATTATTATTATTTCTTGACCAGGGAAATGAGCATCCAGTGAAGCCACATCTGCCGTGGTGAGAAAGAAACCGGAATCGAGTGGCTATTGAGGAATTTGGAAACCAAGAGTGCAGTCAGGGAACCAATGGTGAAGGAAGAAGAAATCCTCTCAATGTGCTGATCTTGCAGAACTCTTGGCCTCATTCACAGATCCAAAGGGGAAAAAGAAGAGTCAAGTGTCTGTCGTTCGGTAAAAAATAAATGCCACTCTCAAGATGGGGAAGAAACTCTATAAATGTTCTGAATGTGGGAAGAGCTTTCAATACACGCGCCTTCTGCAGCAACATGAAGTAATTCACACTGGGGAGAAACCCTACACGTGCTTGGAATGCGGAAAGAGCTTTGCGCTGAGAGAACATCTGCGCAAACATCGGAAAACTCACACTGGGGAGAGACCCTATACATGTTTAGAGTGTGGAAAGAGCTTCCGTGAGAGTGGAAATCGAAATAGACATCAAAGGAGTCACACTGGGGAGAAACCCTATACATGCCTGGAGTGTGGGAAGAGCTTCACTGACAGTGGAAATCTAAATAGACATCAAAGAAGTCACACTGGGGAGAAACCCCATACATGCCTGGAGTGTGGAAAGAGCTTTGCGTACAGTGGAAATCTGCGTACACATCAGAGAACTCACACTAGGGAGAGACCCCATACATGTTTGGAGTGTGGAAAGAGCTTCCGTGAGAGTGGAAGTCTACATAGACATCAGTGGACTCACACTGGGGAGAAACCCTATCCATGCGGAGAGTGTGGAAAGAGCTTCACTGCGAGTGGGCGCCTGCATTTACATCAACGGACTCACACTGGAGAAAAACCCCATATATGTGTGGAGTGTGGAAAGAGCTTCACTGAAAGTGGGAATCTATGTCAACATCAAAGGACTCACACTGGGGAGAAACCCTATAAGTGCCTGGAGTGTGGGAAGAGCTTTGCGCTGAGTTCACATCTATATAAACATCAAAGGACTCACACTGGAGAGAAACCCTTTCAGTGCACGGAGTGTGGACAGGCCTTTGCGCATAGTGGAAGTCTGCGTTCCCATCAAAGGACCCACACTGGGGAGAAGCCCTATCCATGCCTGGAGTGTGGGAAGAGTTTTGCGCTGATTTCACATCTACGTAGACATCAAAGGACTCACCTTGGGGAGAAACCATAAACAGGTCGTCCTGGGTTGGAAACAGGTGTGGCACCTCAGAATAAGCTTCACCTTGCTCTCAAACGCCACCAGATCACGGCTGTAGGATTTATAGTTTATTGTAAAGTTTCCAAAAGAAGGCAAAGGTTAAGTCAATACAAAGTTCCAAAGTTCAGGTAAAATGCACGGTACAGTTCCAGAAATCCTTCAGAGACAATCAAGGTAAACAGAAATCATGAAGCGAGAAGCACAACCCCTGTGCCCAGCAGCTTAGCCCAAAAGCAGCACGAAGGAATCCAATGCAGAAGCATGAAACAGCTAGCAGATAGCCACGTTGAAACTGACAGCTAAGAATTGCCCGAGGAAGCCCTAAATACATTTTGCACATCAAAACAATCTAGTTTCCCACAATCTGCTTTCCCACTGCTCCCTTGACCTGTCGCTGACCTAACTTGGCTGCGATCCGAGAGCTCCGTCTCACGGTTTCGTTATCCCTTTGAAGGAGCACCTGGCCTTCCTCCTTATCAGCTGCATTCCTGTCCTGTGAGAACTGCTTCTCCAGCTCGACTGCAGGCTGAGAAAACTGAAAACCATCAGACTCAGGGGCCTGGTGAACCACAACACTAGGATCCATTCTGTAGGTTTGCTCTTAAGTTCAATTTGTATATAAGTCAGAACAGATACACTTCAAAGTATAATCCTAGACATGTTTAAAGTGTGGATAGTATATACTGAAGTGTTATCACCCCTGCGGCATTCCCTTTGTTGCCTGTGCTCCTGTTCAGAAGATTCCCCCTCACTTTGTGTCCCTGTGAGAATTGGATTTTGACCCAAGAGGTGGGAGGATGTGCCGGGAATGGTTTGGGAATACAAGGGAGCCAAAAAGGGGAACCAAAGGGTGTTTGAGAACAGAATAGAGACACAGAGGTGGGAAGCTGAGAAAAGGAACATTACAGGCAGAAGGGGGAAAGAAGGTTTGATGTCATGACCTATAAAACCCTAGACGGCTCTGGTCCAGCGTACCTGTCCGAACGTATCTCCTTCTCTGTCCCACCTCAGACCTTAAGATCGTCTGGGGAGGCCCTGCTCTCGGCCTCGCCTTTGTCTCAAACATGCTTGGTGGGGACGAGGGACAGGGCCTTCTCGGTGGTGGCTCCCTGTCTGTGGAATTTGCTCCCCGGGGAAATTAGGTCATTGTCATCCCTCCTCACCTTTAGAAAAAAGGTTAAAATGTGGCTGTGGGACTAGGCCTTCGGGCAATCAGGTTAAAGGACAATTGATAATGTTTGACTATGGCATGGAAGAGGATTTGGATAAGTTAAGCAGAGTAATCATTAGTAGATGGCTAGCTCAACAGCCACCAGGCGGGCAATAGCTAATCAGAGTGTAAGTATACTGTTTTAATCTTTATTTATTAATGTTCATGTTTAATTGTTATTTTTGATATTCTGTATTTTATGATGCGGCATTGAATTATTGCCAATTGTAAGCCGCCCTGAGTGCCCCCCCCCCTCGGGGGTTGAGAAGGGTGGGGTAAAAATGTTACAAATAAATAAATAAATAAATGGGCGTGTTCACCTCAATTGAGACTACAAAACCCATGATCCAGAGACAGTCAAACATGGCACTCGCTTGACTTGATTGTAAACACACCTTAGTTACTCTGTAGACTTAAAGTATTGTAATCTCCTCAATTCCTCGTCTGAATTGGAAAGTGAAAAGGACCAGGCATGTCAGGGGCACAGAGCACCAACACCTGGGAGTCCTGCTTGGTGCAATGACTGTGGGTGGGTGAGTGAGTGGGTGGTGTCATGTTGCCAGGGCTCTGCCTTATTTAGGTAGAGATGAATCAAACGCCCAGTTTTATCAAACAGTTTAATTAAAACAGCACTTACTTGCTGGCTGTTTTAATAGACCAAAATATAAAACACAAAGATAGCACTCAGCTACAGAATAAACAAAAACTGATAGCAAAAATAACTTCGTAGTCAAAAGGGTCCAGTCCAGTGGTCAAACGCCAAGAGTTCAATAACAGAGTCCAGGGATCAAGAGTCTATACCATAGTCAAAAGCCAGTCCAAAGGTTCAAGGTTCCAAGATTACAGGAGACAGGTCAGGATACCGAAAATCCAACAGACCTGGGGGAAAAACCAGCAGCATCCACCACCAAAATGCAACAGATACTTTTCTCCCAAAGATCAGTCTCAAGGTTAGCTCCTTAAATCCAGTAACACCCAGCTGCAACCAGGGGACCCTTCACACAATTGTGCTCCAGCTGCGCCCATACCTGGAGAAGTCTGATCTGGCCACGGTGGTCTAGGCCCTTGTCACATCCAGACTGGACTACTGTAATGCGGTCTATGTAGTGCTGCCCTTGAAGGCTGCCCGGAAGTTTCAGCTGGTGCAAAGGTCTGCAACTAGGCTGCTCACTGGTGCCATACAGGAAGCGATGAGCCCCTCTCTTGCGCCAGCTCCACTGCCTACCAGTGTGCTTCCGGGCGCAATTCAATGTGCTAGTTGTAACCTTCAAAGCCCGGAAGAGTTCAGGTCCAACCTGTCTACCCAACTTCATCTTCCAGTACGAGCCTGCCCGAACCCTGCGATTGGCTCGGGAGGCTCTACTCTCGGTCCCACCCCCGTCTTGGGTGCGGCTGGTGGGAACGAGGGAGAGGGCCTTCTCGACGGTGGCCCCTTGGCTCTGGAACTCCCAGTGATTGGCTGGGGAGTCCCTACTCTCGGTCCCACCCCCGTCTCGGGTGTGGCTGGTGGGAACGAGGGAGAGGGCCTTCTCGACAGTGGCCCCTTGGCTCTGGAACTCCCTGCGATTGGCTGGGGAGGCCCTACTCTCGATCCCATCCCTTTCTCGGGTGCGGCTGGTGGGAACGAGGGAGAGGGCCTTCTCGACAGTGGCCCCTTGCTGTGTCCAGGCTGGTTCATCAGGTGCTCTGCTATGGCTGACTTCTACATAGGGACCACCAAACGCAGCGCCCAGACACGCATCAAGGAACATGAAAGGCACTGCACACTACTTCAACCAGAGAAATCAGCCATAGCAGAGCACCTGATGAACCAACCTGGACACAGCATATTATTTGAGAACACAGAAATGCTGGACCACACCAACAACCACCATGTCAGACTACACAGAGAAGCCATTGAAATCCACAAGCATGTGGACAATTTCAACAGAAAGGAAGATACCATGAAAATGACCAAAATCTGGCTCCCAGTATTAAAAAACTCTAAAATTATAACAGCTAAACAACAGAGAGGAAAAAACCAGGCACAGATTAACACCTCCCAGCAACAGATTTTCCCAGACTCAGGCAGGCCTTCAAATGCTAATGAAGGTGATCAGCTAAACATTCACACCTAACTGCAGCAGGGAAGAGCTCCTTGCCCCACCCCAGCCATTCCACAGATATATAAACCCATTTTTCCTACTTCCAACAGACCTCACACCTCTGAGGATGCTTGCCATAGATGCAGGCGAAACGTCAGGAGAAATGCCTCTAGAACATGGCTCTATAGCCCGAAAAAACCCACAAGAACCTAGTGATTCCAGCCATGAAAGCCTTCGACAATACGTTGTATTTTGTGTTTGCTTTGCTCTGTTAGAAATGTAATAAAAAAATAAATAAAATACTATGCTAATGATATAATATATATTGTGTGTGTATGTATATGTATGTATATGTGTGTGTGTGTGTGTATGTGTGTGTGTGTGTGTGTGTGTGTGTGTATATATATATATATATATATATATATATATATATATATTGTAAGCAGCTCTGAGTCCCCTTCGGGGTGAGAAGGGCAATATATATAAAATACTAAATATATATAAGAATAATATATTATAGTTATATATTTTATATTACATGTAATGTTACTAATAATATTACAATATAATGGTATAGTACAATATAGTAATATATAATACTGATCTATATATATATATATATATATATATATATATATATATATATATATATATATATTGTAAGCTGCTCTGTGTCCCCTTTGGTGTGAGAAGGGTGATATATATAATACTACTATTAATAATAATATATAATATATTATAATTATATATTTTATATTACATGTTACATGACTAATAATGTTACAATATCATGGTATAGTATATAAATGTATATAGCATATAAATGTCTTGTCGAAGGCTTTCATGGCCGGAATCACTAGGTTGTTGTAGGTTATTTTGGGCTCTGTGGCCATGTTCTAGAGGCATTCTCTCCTGACGTTTCGCCTGCATCTATGGCAAGCATCCTCAGGTGTAGTGAGGTCTGTCTCTAAACAAAAGATTGCCCCAGGCACTGCCAGGCCATCAAATGCTAATCAAGGTGGTCAGTTGAAACATTCACACCTAGCTCCAACAGACAAGAGTTCTTTGTCCCACCCTGGTCATTCCACAGATATATAAACCCATTTTTCCTAGTTCCAACAGACCTCACTACCTCTGAGGGTGCTTGCCATAGATGCAGGCGAAACATCAGGAGAGAATGCCTCTAGAACATGGCCATATAGCCCAAAAAACCTACAACAACCTAGTGATTCCAGCCATGAAAGCCTTCGACAATACAATGTACTGTTCGTTTGTGGGATTAACATAACTCAAAATCCACTGGACGAATTGACACCAAATTTGGACACAATACACCTACCAGGCCAACAAGTGACCATCACTCATAACAACGTTGAAAAGCACAGCAGAAGAGTCTTGAAAAGCAAAAAATAAAATAAAATAATACATTACACTGCATGCACAAGACCACATATTTTCATATATACACACACAAAACACATATACACAGATTGGGCCACAGCATTTGATGGCCTGACAGTGCCTGGCGCAATCTTTTATTGAGAGGTGATTAGATGTCCTTGTTCAAATTACAACAGCACAACAACAGAGAGGATACAATCAAAGACATCTAATCACCTCTCAACAAAAGTTTGCTCTAGGCACTGTCAGGCCATCAAATGCTAATCAAGGTGCTCAGTTGAAACATTCCCACCTAGCTCCAGCAGACAAGAGTCCTTTGTCCCACCGTGGACATCATTCCACAGATATATAAACCCTCTTTCCTACTTCCAACAGACCTCAGTACCTCTGAGGATGCTTGCCATAGATGCAGGCGAAACGTCAGGAGAGAATGCCTCTAGAACATGGCCATATAGCCCGAAAAAACCTACAACAAGGACATCTAATCACCTCTCAACAAAAGATTGCTCCAGGCACTGCCAGGCCATCAAATGCTAATCAAGGTGGTCAGTTGAAACATTCCCACCTAGCTCCAGCAGACAAGAGTCCTTTGTCCCACCCTGGTCATTCCACAGATATATAAACCACTTTCCTAGTTCCAACAGACCTCACTACCTCTGAGGATGCTTGCCATAGATGCAGGCGAAACGTCAGGAGAGAATGCCTCTAGAACATGGCCATATAGCCCGAAAAAACCTACAACAAGGACATCTAATCACCTCTAAACAAAAGATTGCTCCAGGCACTGCCAGGCCATCAAATGCTAATCAGGGTGGTCAGTTGAAACATTCCCACCTAGCTCCAGCAGGCAAGAGTCCTTTGTCCCACCCTGGTCATTCCACAGATATATAAACCCTTTTTCCTAGTTCCAACAGACCTCACTACCTCTGAGGATGCTTGCCATAGATGCAGGCGGAACGTCAGGAGAGAATGCCTCTAGAACATGGCCATATAGCCCGAAAAAACCTACAACAACCCAGTGATCCCTCTAAACAAAAGATTGCTCCAGGCACTGCCAGGCCATCAAATGCTAATCAGGGTGGTCAGTTGAAACATTCCCACCTAGCTCCAGCAGGCAAGAGTCCTTTGTCCCACCCTGGTCATCCTTCCACAGATATGTAACGCCACTTTCCTAGTTCCAACAGACCTCACTACCTCTGAGGATGCTTGCCATAGATGCAGGCGAAACGTCAGGAGAGAATGCCTCTAGAACATGGCCATATAGCCCGAAAAAACCTACAACAAGGACATCTAATCACCTCTAAACAAAAGATTGCTCCAGGCACTGCCAGGCCATCAAATGCTAATCAGGGTGGTCAGTTGAAACATTCCCACCTAGCTCCAGCAGGCAAGAGTCCTTTGTCCCACCCTGGTCATCCTTCCACAGATATGTAACGCCACTTTCCTAGTTCCAACAGACCTCACTACCTCTGAGGATGCTTGCCATAGATGCAGGCGAAACGTCAGGAGAAAAATTGCCTCCAGAACATGGCCATATAGCCCGGAAAAACCTACAACAACCCATATAAATGTTGTAAATAAATAAATATAGACACATACAAACATAATAATAATATGATATTATAATTATATAATATAAATGTCATAGATAAATAAATATAGACATACAAAAGAATAATAATATGATATTATAATTATATAATATAAATGACGTGAATAAATAAATATAGACACATACAAAACAATAATAATACGATATAATTATATAATATAAATGTCAGATAAATATAGACATACAAAACATATTATAATTATATAATATATAAATGACGTAAATAAATAAATATAGACACATACAAACAACAATAATATGATATTATAATTATATAATATAAATGACGTAAATAAATAAATATATACACACAAAATATAATAATAATAATATGATCTCATAATTATATAATATAATATAAATAATGTAAATAAATAAATATAGACACACACAAAACCTAATAATAATATCTTATAATTATATAATATAAATAATGTAAGTAAATAAATATAGACACACACAAAACCTAATAATAATATGATCTTATAATTATATAATATAGTATAAAAAGTAAATAAATAAATACAGATACACACAAAAGACATAGACACAGAGTGGGCCACAGCAAAGCGTGGCAGGGGACGGCTAGTGAAGAAATAAGAGCCCTCCCTCCCTCCTTCCCTCCTTCCAGGTGTTTTGGACTTCAATTCCCAGCATTCCTATCAGCCTTCAGGGCCAACGTCACTTCCGGAAGGCGGAGAGGGGCGGAGCTTCCTTGGGCGTGAAGAGAGAGGGAAGGAGAAAGACAGGAAGGAAGGAAGGAAGGGAGAAGCGCCCGGAAAGGTAAGGAAAGGGTTAAGTTGGGGGGGGGGTGGCCTTAGAGCGCCGCCCCCCTGTTTT